CCTATATTCTGGTTGTTTCTTGCAAATTGGAGATGCAAATATATAGATGCCCCCTTTGCTTCCCTGTATATTGACGACAATCACGGCTCAAATCCGTGAGACATCATCAGAGTGTAAGCTCACAAGCAAGCCCGTGTTTTCAGACTTCATTTATATCTCTCACAGTCCACCTTCGACACTAAATAAATATTTGTTGAATGAACTAATGAAATGTCTGTCACAAAGTGCCAGACTACAGCCGAGACTAGCCTCACAGGCTTTCTGGGGCATGTTTCACACATACCTTTTCACAAGTTTGGTTGCCTGCCTTTCTAGCCTCAGCCAATTCGAAGTGAATGATGGGGAGCGGGGAAAGGCTCTCGGTGAAAACATTCTCTGTAATGTGGGGCGGAAAAGTCAAAGCTGCATTGCCATGGAAACAGTATTTTCATAATGATGACTTGACTCACTAAGAAAAATTATAGTTTTTACTTTTTGTATAATGTAGTGGGAAATTGGATAGCCATAGAAAGATGCTTAACAGGGGCAAGCTCTGGTTATCATGGAAAAAATCACTATACACATCTATAGAATGTCTCTAGTGTGCTCCAAGAGTGAGAAAAGACACAGCAACCACCTTCTTTTCTCTGCTGTTTGTTTACTTACATATGACTGCTGGAATACTTTGGATTTCTATTGTTCTACTATTAAAGCATTGAAGTCATCAACCTTATTTAGATGGTTTCAATGACAATCCAAGAAGCCTATGACAGAATTAAATAGGAGATTTAAGAATGAGTCAGAAATAAAACATGAAAAAGAGCCATCCCAGCCAAGTGCAGAGCTTCCATAGTGGATGATGTAAAGTAAGGTGAGAATTGTTTCTGATTTCACTATTTCATTCTCTCACCTGTCAAAATATTGAGTCTTTAAGAGAAAGCTTTTAAACTCCTATTTTGTAGAGCAGTGTATTTCTTGAATGCCATGCAAATGCAAGAAAACATTTGCATTTGCTTTCTTACACAAGAAAGTTATGATATTAATTTTTATAAACAATTTCACATTTGCAGTGCTGAATTGTTATTTTTTATTGTCTAAATTGTATTAGATTTCTCAACCCATTTGGAATAAAATGGCACTAAGATGGTCTAGCCATTGTATTTTTCAGACGAAAGCTGGTTTCCACAATATTATTCACATTTTGTAAACAGCATCAGTGAACCTGCACATAAAAGGTTAAATGTTTGCAGACCATTCTTTTTTGCCTCAAAGATCAGAGACAAATTACTATTTTTATTTTGCATTCCCTTGATGAGGATAATGATAAACAGCTGTCACTTCAGTGCTTAGACTACAAAGGATCCTATTGCAATCCTGTAATTTAAACAAAGAAAAAATACATAGTCCTACACACTATACAGACTGAAAAGAGCACAACAGAGAATTTGGTTAGAATTGAGTTAGACGAAAGTCAGTATTTGCCCTCTGCAATTTCTCCGTTAAAAGAAAAATTCTATCTATGTACGTTTTCCTCCATTCATCATAAGTGTGTTAGAAGGGACTATTACTCCTTCTTTCTGTTTAAATTCAGGAAGAAATCTAATTTGCATTCTAAATTCTATAACGCCCCATCATGTCTATGGATTATCAGAAAAAATAAGACTGGCCTGTGATCATGTGATTACCAGTATTTTCAAAAGCTAAAGAGAATTTCACATGGTTTTACTAGTTATATTGGAACACTTCTTTTTTCTATAATGTGGTTAATTAAATTGTTGAGTGTCCTTTCTTCACTCTAACACTTTGCTTACTAATTGCATCTGGTTTCAAAAAGTGAAAGTCAGTATCCTTTACATATTTTGATATGCAAAAACTAATGCAAGGCTAAATGTTAAGAATAGTGTGTAATGGGGAAATTCAGCATTTCCATATGAAATTGTGATTGATGATATAATTTCCTATTCCTGGAGGCTCTTTTAATAAGTACTCTTCATTTTGCTTTTCTCTTTTGGTTCAGCCTTGTATTTTTTTTGGTAAATGTCAGTCCTTTATTAGCATTATTATTGACACTTTTTGTATTTTTTATTTCTTCTGTGAAATTAACTTGGATGTATATCATGGATGTCTCGCCGTTTCAAAATACTTTTCTTGATGTTTTTTTATATCTGGAAAGGAAAAACTTGGTTTAACATTGCATTTCTTTTACATTTACTGAGCAGACTTCAGTTCAGACTCTTACCAGGCCCTTCTGTACATTGACGATAACGTCTCCTAAAATAGTGGTACAGATCTAAGTAAAATGCTTAGCGTAGTACCTAGACCTGTGCACAACACTTAGCACCTACTAAAATGACTAGTGACTGTTGCTGAGAAGTAGTAAGTTGATGCTGCAATGCCATCACTCCCTTCTGTTAAATATAATAGCAAAATAAAGTATATTCTTTAGATGAAGCTGAATTGTATCTATTATGGAGGTTTATACTACATTATGTAAAAGATGTTGTCTTCACAAATCTGTAGGACATCTGTTCTCATTTATGTGTATAATTTCATGATCACCTTGTCCTTACTGTTATCAAGCAGTAGTGATCCTAACTCAGCAACTTGAGATTTCTTGGTCTCCAGTTTCTTTAACAAGTGGGCACTCTTAGAGACCCTAAAATTCATGGAAGCAGCTTCCTTGATTTAGGTAACTCTTTTGTATGGGTTTGTAGTGTTAACTTCTCCTTCTTTTCCTGTGCGTTGAGCTCTGTGCTAGGTGCTAAGAAGGGCAAAATAAACAGGCCCGTAGGGTCTAATAGAGAGAGAAGCAAAAAAAATAAGCTGGATATTAAATAGGAATATTGAATACTGGACACAGCTAAAGTCAGAGGTGAAAGGAGAGTTGAGAGCCACCAGGAGCTTGTCTAGAAGAAATAATAGGGAGCAGGGTTTTGAAAGATGAAGGGTCTTCACATGTAGGAGGGGGAGGTGCCAGATAAGAGGAATTGCTTGCGGAAAACATGGCAGTATAAATTTAAATATAGAGTTTGGCATTTTTATACTGCTTGAATTAAGTACTTTATGCTCAAATTTTTCATCTTAAATTTTCATAATGCATATTGAGAGTCAACTCATGCTTATCCCGTAAGTAGTCAGAAAAGAAGGAAATAAACTAACATTCATTGGGAACCCACAGAACCTTTGGCTAAGACTCTTCATGTGCATTTCTCATTTAGCTGCTACAAGTTAAACAGGAAAGGATAAGCCAACTTTAAAGATGGGAAAGCAGAGTCTCAGCCACCACAAGTATCTGAAAAGTGAACACAGGACAGAGTAATACACGAGAAAACCTGAATTTGAATCTAAAGTTTTCACTTTCAAATACCCTTAATATGACATTGTAGTTTACTGCTGATTCTTGGAATTCAGGATAAGGGTAGAGCATATTTGCTATGGTTGTTACATCCTGAAGAGAATTTTGGGGACATGATTGATTTTTTTCACTACCATGTCTGACCTTGCCTGCCTCTACACTTCACCATCTTAAGGTCTCAGGGATTTTTTTGTCTGTTTAATCCCATGATCTATTGCACCTATATCACAAATTCATAATAAAAATGAAAAAACTGCATAAGACTTGAATTCTTTCTTCCAATGGTCAAATGCCATTTTACAAGAAACGGTATATGAGAACCACTGTCATTTTAGAAACTTCCATTCCTCTTGCTGTAGTAGCCGTAAGATGCCCCAGAAACGTCTTGAAACTGTCCCCTTAAAGCATGGCCTTTATACTCTGAGGATTGGAAAAGGACTATTTTTTTAGACAGAGCATATATTATTTTAATATTTTAAAGTATTTTAGGTATTTCTGAATGACAATAGCCTATAGAAATGAGTAGAAATAATTTCTTTGTTATTGTCAGTGCAAATACAAATATGCCTTTCACTTATGCATATTTGGACTCACAGGAAAAGCTTGTCATTTATGGATCTATTTAAACTATTTAGCACAGTGCTTTGCCTAGAACTGGCCGGATGATTGAAAACCTGGCAGATCAAAGTATGTACATTTCCAAAGAAAAGTACTTCATGTCCACATTGGAAGCAATAAATTATTTCCTTTTTTTTTGCATTCATAATTAAATCTTTCCAAACGCTAGAAAGTAGCCAGACCACTAACAATATTTGTATCATGTTCTGGGGTTTAGATGGTTCAACCTGACTTGAAATGGAGACCATTTGTTCTAAATTGATTTCAATGCCAAGCCAATAGGTCAGCCCTTAATGATGAAGATGCCATTCCAGCCCAGTCTCTGGTGGATAAGCCAAAATTAATTAACTCAAATCCCATAGTATAGAAAACAGATGCTTCTCTCATGTAGCACAAATAAATTCTTTGTGTATAGATGTGTTCTGTTTTAGTCAAAGAATAACAAGTTGGAAGTTAAAATGGTGAGTTTTTTGCAATGGAGCCAGCCTTTGGTAGTGATGACAGAAGCATGAATTTACATAACAAATTCCAGCAAGTGCATGGAAAAATGAATTATCCTCTATATCTCTTATTTTGGCTCTAGACCAGGCCTAGGAGATTTAGTGTTAAATCTGGGTTGATCCAAATGCTGATCCATTCCAGAGTAGACCTAGGAGTTCCAGAATAACACCAAGGTTATTTCTAATCTATAGAATCCCTAGAGACTCCTCCCAGAGGTTTACATCTGCATCATATATTTGGATTCAATTCTTTGGCCAGCTTACAGATGGCTCAGGATTAGATTGTTCTCTAGAGTTATGTTGTTAGGTGCGTTGTTTATCTGGCTATCCATTTCAACATTCATTCAGAATCAGAATACTTGCTTTACCTAGAAAAGTAAGTGGTATAATAACTGCATTGTTCCAGAATTAATGGATGTGCAATAAGATGAGGATGTTCCTGTTTAGAAAAGTAACTCCAAATACACATGAGTGAAGTTGATCATCTGATATTTGTTTTCCTTCTGCACAAATGAGAGATAATCTATGTTTTCTTTTCTTTCTGTTAGACTGACAATGATGAGAATGGCCAAGCAGAAAACTTTTCCATGGACCCACAGCTGGAGAGGCAAGTGGAGACCATTCGCAACCTTGTAGACTCCTACATGTCTATCATCAACAAGTGTATCCGAGATCTGATTCCAAAAACGATAATGCACCTTATGATCAATAATGTAAGTGACTATAAAATTTCTTCTATCAACTTCTAACCCAGCCAGTGTAGAAACTGCTCACATATTCTTCAATTTTTTAGTGATACTTTCTGATGGTTGAAATATTTATTAGCCACGTTCAACATTTACCATTCCAAGTGAGTAACCAGTGGAAGAGAACCTAGGAGAGAAACAAAATTTGGAGCTACAGTGCTGTGGTCATCCAGTATTGGTTATCTCCTCTAGAAGAGGAGATAAGGTGTAGCTCAGGTGAGGGTATAAATTACTCTTAAAGACAGTCAAAGCCAGATGCTCTGGCTCCTAGACCTTGAGATTAAAGGCAAAACATACATTTTTTTTTTTTTACAGAGAGAGAGAGGTATTAACATGTTTATTTTTCCCTTCTAAAAACTATGAATGCTTCTTACACCTGCCCATCCTATCCCCTTGGATAAAAAGTTAATCAGATTTGATTTTTTAAGGTAAGGATGATGTAACCACAAATCTCCAAGTATCCTACTGGACTAGCCCATCAATCAGTCTATATTATACAGAATCTCTCCCTTTTAATGGTTATTTTTATAGTAATAAGGATATGACACTGAAATTGTGTGGCCTAGTTTGGTTCTTTTGGTGGCTACTTGATTGAAGTATGAATAACAGCACATATTATTTGAGAAATTGCCTTTCAGATAAGCTAAGCTATAAAGGATTGTTTCATTGCAGTTTTTTCTGAATCTTGAAAAGTGTAATGCCAACAATTTTATTCCTTAATTATATTCTAAGGACATCTTCTTATTTAAATTAATGATTTAGTATAAGCATTTGCTTGTAACAAGTAAAAGTTAGATAGTTCTAAAAGAGCCCCACACTAGAAATCAGAAGAAACCCAGATTACAAAACTAGTTCTGCTACAGTTACCACTTAATTTAATTGAATCTGTTCCTCCATGTATGAAATACTAATCACACAAAATGTGCCTGGCTTAGGGATTCATTCCAAACGAGAGTAGATAGAGAAGTACTATGAAAAATACAATTGTAAGAAATGAATATGACTGTTTTAAAAACTATAAATAGCCTTTATCCATATTTCAAGATTCCTTTCAAAATTGCATTTCTAAATGTAACAACCCATTTATTGTTCACGGTCTATGAATTCCTTGACTAAAAAAAGTCCCAAGCACTTATGTGAATAATTTTGTTTCTATTTAGATCCATATTCATAAACATTTTGTGTCCTGAAACAAAGTAGAATATGTTCAAGTACCAGTAGCAAGTAAACAATATTTCTGTATTTTCAAGCTTGTCAAGGGCCTGCTGGGTGACCTGAAGCAAATCACCTCGCCCCTCTCTGAGTTGAAGTCAGTCACCTCTAAAGCTGAGTGAGAACACTGAGCTGCCTCACAGGATTGTCAGACAACATAATAAATGTGACTCTGTGCCATTTTGAAAAATATAAAGTACTAAACAAATAGTCTGTGTATTTTTAAAATTACCCTCTTAACTTTACTTAAATAAGTTCAGGTTGTTTTGCCGTGGTGTATCCAGGCACTTGCTTATTTAAACATTTTCCTGATTAAGTATCATTTATCTTTTCACTGTTTTACGGAGAGTCATTAGTGCTGCCATCAGTTCAAACGTTGCTTTGCTCTGCACTACATTAAATCATCAGCACAGGAAATAGCACTTCCTGTCTGTAGCTGTGAGGAGTAGCCTGACACAAATTAGTTAAAGGGGGGTAGGGGGGACCCCATGGCAAATCTAGCCTACTTTCACCTTCTCAGAAAAGGTACATACAGAAAGAAACATAGGGGTAATTCCCCTCAGTTCTCGCTGCTATGCTAGTTTGGTAACATAATGGTCAAACCCCCACCTACAGGCACTCATTCATAGAGGTAGAGCTCTGCTCTTGTCTTGAGAGGGACCTCATGTCAGAGTCATGAGAAAGAAGACTCCAATTAAGACCTGATCTCCAAGGTCAAACTTTGAAGCAGAAACTACTAGGAATGTGGAAAAGTAAAAACATCAGGCAGTGCTGCTTTCTTATGAAACTAATAGTTATCTGTGTTTAAAATTTATAATGTAGAATCTACGAGAAAATAATTTCACATCTTTAGTTATATATTTTAATTGTATATATAAAAATATAGATCCCTTTTTAAAAATGTACTCATATGGTGATAGCATCTACTTGCACAGACCACTGAACACTTTTTAGATTATTCCAGAAGCACCCTGTGGAGTATGAGGATCTAAAACAGTGAACATACAGCATAGTATCATTCTTGTGTGTTTCTTCTTCTTATTATTATTATTATTATTTGATCTAAAATGAAGTGTTCTTCAAGTAAGAGAATTAATCATTGAATTACAACTAGAAAATGAATACCTTGACTCTCACTCTAAATTCCATCCACTTAACCCCACTGCTTCTATAAATGGCTTTGAGTGAAAAAGCTAGTTGTTCCTGCAGAACCAGTAAATACCTAAAAGGGGACCCTCTATTTCTGGCCTATCAAAAGTGATGCTGTAGCAATTTCTCTTTGAAATGGGAATGGCTATTCTGCCTTCTGAAAAAGAATATGTTTCAGCCAACTTTCATAAAGTTCAGAATTTGGTGGGCAGTTTCCTTTGAAAGTTTACATTAAGTGTTCTGCCACTCAAGTCTCCATATGGAATTGTTTAAGAAGTTTAAAGCCAGCAATAAATGCCTTGCCTCAGACATACTGTAAGCCTTTGTCTATTGAAATGCAGCAGCTGTTTCATTGCTTAAACATACCAGGTAACAGCGGCACAAAGAAATAGCAAGTTTATGACAGGCAGGCATTCTGGACGGGCTACAGTCAAAGCAGCAAGTTCTGCTCTGGACTTTAGAGTTAGCACACATGAAAACACCCCAGGGCAAGGACACTCTGATGGCCTCCTCTCTGTGGCTCACCCAGCAGAAGTTCTCCATCAGACTGTCAGGAAAGTGGGTTCCAGCTTTACTCTAAAAGTGTGAGCAGCAAAGTAGCACAAAATTCTGTGTTTCAACCCATGGCCAACCACCAGTTTGAGTATTCATTATTTTCCCCAGACTTAATTTTTTTTTAAAGATTTATTTATTTTTATACAAGAGCTGGGGTATAGGCCAGAGGCGCAGGAGGGTGAGAGGATTCACCAGAGACAGAGAAGGGAGCAAAACAGGCAGATGACTGAAATACACTGCTGAGGAGAGCAGCGGGCGCAACAGGAGAGGTCTGCCATGCCATGTGGGAATCTCCCTGGCCAGCCGGGAATCGAACCCACACTGCAGAGGCTGCAGAGAGGCTCACAGCGCTGTGGTCACCCCACTGCACCACTGGGGAGGCCTATTTTCCCAAGACTTTAAATGAAAAATGGAGGCTCTGAAGAGTTAAGAGATTCTCCTAAGATTACACAGCTGGAGGGTGGCAGAATCAAGTTTAAAATCCAGTTCTTCTCATTCACTGATATTCTCTCCATTCCATCTCAGATAATACATACGCCAGGATCAGGAGAACTATGTCAGCCTTCTAAAATGAGAGGGCTCTGCCACCCATAGGGTATACTTCTGGCGGACCTTCCCGGAGGGTTTGTTTTACTTGAAGACTTCATTAGGTTTGTTTGAATGTGCAAAATACTGTTGTAAATCTTAAGCAGTATGTTATTTAAAATACTGCTCCTCGTATTCAGACAAACCCAGATAATAGGAAATAAAATATAAAAGATTTTTATGGTACTTTTTCAGAAACAAATATGAACCTAGAGGCATTTCACACTTGGACTATGTGCAGCAGCTTGAGCCCCTACCCCTGGAGGCCAAACTCACTCTCCGTGGTCAGTGGCACTTTGGAAAATTAGTAACATGTGCCCTAGTTGCAAAACTTACTATAACTTTAATGTGTGTGAAGTAGGGTGTTATTTTAAATGTTCATTATTGGTGGAGAGAGTACATCTTAAATACCAGAGCATGAATTTGTTTCCACGGGTCAAGAATTCAGCCTTCTGCGCAAGAAACAGATCATGACCAGAACCCCAGAGGCCCCCCTTTTGCTCCCTCCAGCCCCCATTTCTCCCCACCAAGGGGAACACCCCTGATTTCTCACACCATAGATTAGTTCCGTCTGTTCTTCGTCTTGGGAATCCTACAGTATGTGCTCTCTGTTGTGACTGTTTTTGTTTGACGTTATGTTTGTGAGTCAAGGGATGTTCCTTTTTTGAAAAGGAAAACTTTGTCAGCCTTTACCAGAACTAAGTCCCTGGGAAAAGGAATAGAGCATTAAGTAGGTATGAGAGAACAATGAGAAATCAGAGAATGGAAATTGGAATCGAATTTGGAAGCCCCTCTCCAAAACGAAGCAAGTTTAAGATTCAGTTACATTTGTCTGTGTCCTTCACGTGAAAGACCGATCCTGTGTTCCACACTGCAGCCCTCCCAGCCAGAAATTTAGATTTTAAGGAAATGGTTTCCTTAGTAACTGAACTGTATGCAAACTCTAAAAATGGCTCTTCTGGTCGAGAGGCTTCAAAATGGTCTCAATAATAAAGACAAAGAAGGCTTAAGATCCAGGAAGATCGCAGATCGCTAGAGAAGGGTTAAACTAAGAAAGAGGAAAACATGTGGAACGCTTTTAATGACCTCACATTCCTTTACACTGAGCAGAACGACATGGTGCAGCCATGCCTGTTTATCTAGCTGAAGAGTTTGAAATGGAATGAGGTTTTGTGTGTGAAAAAATTTTTTGCAAACCATACAAGATGTATAGGTTATAAGGTGTTATAATTAAAAGCATAAATATTATTTCAGATCTCACATCCAAGTATATTTAATTTATGTAATGTCCTATGAGATATTTTCTAAATGCTATCATATAAAAGGGATCCACTTGGCCTCTAATTGTCGCACAGAATCCTTGATTTAAATATTTGTACCACTGATATACAAACGGCTCAGAAAGTCCCTGAAGTGTCTGGAAACTCCCCAGAGTCCCGCCCCCACCCCCACCTTTTGTTCCAAACTCCAGTGGTAGCATCACAAAACTAGACTAGCAGCAGCAGGAGAAGAGTCTTTCTAAAATCTACTTGCAAAATAAAACTTTAACCTACATTCTATATAGACCTCTGTCACTTGATGCCTGTGTTCTTGCAGTCTGTGATCTACCTCTACATGCCCAATGACAGCTCAGCCTATAGGCTGTAAAAATAAAAGCTTTTGTTTATTGAGCCCTAACTGAAGGCGAGGCCTCGTGCTAGACAATTAATTTTCATGTGTTCATTTAATCCTCACAACTCTTGAGACAACCACTACTGTTCTCCTCACTGAACAGATCAGGAACCTGAGACTCAAAAGAGTTTGTTACTTGCCCAAGAACAATAAGTGTTACAGCTAGGATGCAAATTCAGAAGTGTCTGATTCCAAAGCATCTGCTCTTAACCACAGCACTGTAGTGCTATTGCTCTCATGCTAATAATACTCATATTATTTCAGAACATTGCCAAATCTTTTGGATGGTAGGCAAGTTTTAGTGTGTAACATTCTGATGTGGAAGAGTTGATTCAAGGCAGATCTTTGATCAGAATGCTGAAACAGGCCTTTATTATTTTATTTCGTGGTTTGTTTGACAATTGCTTCTTAATTCAGATCTGCTTTAAATCTATTCTTGGAAAGATCTTCTTTTAAATTGTGTCTAATAGATTCTAAGTGATACTCCAGTAAGATGTAAAGCTTCTAAAGAGCTTAGCCCAGCTGATGATCACTGCCAGGAAAGTTGTCTGGTTTTGAATTTGAGTTGCACCATTTATCCAAATGCACACACACACAACACTGGAGGATTTGTGCAAATGTCCATGACTTCTTGGTTATGTGCAAGTGTGTTTAGAAGTGAATAAATCTGAGGAGAGGAATGAATCATTCTTTAGGTCAAATTTACTGACTTTCCTCTAAATCTTGACTTTTTTCTTGAGTTCTGATTTTTTATGCTTCTACTTACCCAAATTTCAATATTTGAGGTGTCTGATTGTTCCTCTCTTTCTTGCCCTTCACATTAAAATTGCACCAAGTCCGACTGCCTTTTCCTTCATAATATCATCTTTATGTGCCCATTTTTTCCATTCCATTGAAACCTTCTTAAACTCTTCACATCTCATTAAATGATTTACAATCGTCTCTAATAGATTTATCTCTACTACCACCCTTTTTCTCCATCACATCCAGATTCATTTTATTATAACTCTTTTATTGTCTCATTTATTTGGGTCTCCCATGACTTCCTATTGTCAAGAGGATCAAGTTCAAACACTTTTCCTTGGCTTTTCAAGCCTTCACCCATGGCCCCAGGTTACCTGGCCAAATGTACCTTCCAACAACTGCTGCTCAGAAACCTTCCACTCCTCCAAAATATTCCCCAAATATACCTTTATATTAGATTATTTCCATATTTGAATCCCTCTTGCTTTACAAGATACATGGAGAAGACACTGCTTATTCCTCCCCAGTGAGGCTGTTTTAGCTGAGCTTTTTTGATTGGTGGAATTATTAATATGTTTTGATACCTTTAAAAATAACAGGGCTATGTGTTTTCTTGTCATCTCTGAGTTAGAAATTTAGCTGCAACCCAGGAAATTTGAGCATCTGAGGGGTGTTCCATTATCTGTCTGAATTTGTAACAAACATACTTGTCTTTGACTTTGTTCGAGATAGCCAGTAACTTTACATGAGTATTAGTTTTCTCATTTAACAGAAAAACTGAAAAAGCAAAGATGATTTATCTTCCAGGCTTAAGTTCATTAGTAAATTTGTTGCATCACTGTGAAATAATGATACTTAAAGAGCAACTGTCTCTTCTAAGCTTTCAATCAAAGTGAAGTAATGAGGTAATAAAAAAGCTCTAGACCTCAAGTCAGAAGACTTTAGGTTAGCTGTCTGACTTTGGGCATGTTACTTAAACTCTCTAAACTTGAGTTTCTTTATCTGTAAATTTGGGATAATAATGTTTCATAAGTATGAGGTGAGAATTAAGGCATGTAACTTGTGAAGGCACTAGGGACATGCTATATTTCATTGATTCTCAGATTTCCTTTTCTTCACATTTAATACTTCTGAGGTGAAGACACATCTTACACTCAATGGTACCTGAACATTATGTCTCTGTTTAGTTGAAGGTGTTTTTTCATTCTTAACTGCACATCATGTAGTCTCGTGTCTTAAAATCAATGGTGTCGAGCCTCCCCTGTGGGGCAGCGGTTGAGCACTGGGCTGCAAAGCTGCCTGCAGCCTCTGCAGCACCTGTTCAATCCCCGGCCATTGGTGACGGCCCCACATGGCACACAGACCTCCCCTGCCGTGACTGTTGCTCCCCTCAGCAGTGTACTTCGTCAGTCTGCCTGTTCTGCTCCCCGCTCTGGCTCTGGTGAGTTCTCTCACCCTCCTGTGCTTCTGACTGCCCCCAGTGCTTGTATAAATAAATAAATAAATCTTTAAAAAAAAATCAATGGTGTCTTGGATTTGATGAGATAAGGCAGTTGATGCCATCTCCCACAGTCAGTTAGCATCTCCCCTAAGACCTGTGGGTATTGCTATTTCAGTTTGGGTTTAGACCTCATGTAGGTCCTCATCACTATTAAGTAGCTTCTATCGTAAATCTTCAGAGCGCAGAGAATGCATCACTTTCCTTTTGTTAAGTCAATTTGCATAATTATATAAAGTTCTGTATTTTTAAAATATTCACTTACTGGTGCTAATTCCATTTTTGAGATACATTGAAACCCAACGTGATAACAATACTCCAGTGGCTTTGGTAAAGCACTGGGAGTTCCAAAGAGTGGGTCACATGGTATAACACAGGTCCCTTTACAGCAGTGTCAATCACTTCTGGACCTTCCCTGATCTGTAAGCCAAGCAGTCTCAGGCAACTCTGTGGATATGCTTGCAGTTAACATGCCCTGTTCTGCTGTTAGCAGGGCTGGGCCCTTTTTTTAATGAATCCATATCATCCTTCAGTGTCAACATCCACACACAGAGAAAAACTGGCACTAGTACTGAGGATCAGGAGGATAATAAAGAAAACAAGAGTAAACAGATGGACTTTTATGGACTTTGTCCACAGACTCCAAACCAGTTTACACAACTCACTCCCACTTTTACTTTTTTGTGGTGTTCTGACAGGTTAAAGACTTCATAAATTCAGAGCTCCTAGCACAGTTGTATTCTTCAGAGGACCAAAATACTCTGATGGAGGAATCTGCTGAGCAGGCTCAGCGCAGAGACGAGATGCTGCGAATGTACCAAGCCCTGAAAGAAGCCCTTGTGATCATTGGCGACATCAACACTGCCACCACCTTCACCCCTGCACCACCTCCTGTGGACGACTCCTGGATACAGCACACCCGCAGGTAGGAGGAGGGCCCCAGGAGGCCAAGGTGCATTTTCTGAGCATGTGTCTCTAAGCCAGTAATAACCTAAAGAGAAAAGAGCAGGGGGAAAGATACTTAGGTTCAGGAATGAAAGAAAGTCAGATGGCCCCAACTCCCTTCAAAGATAAGCATACCACATCTTCCCGGTGGAATGTTATACAACCGTTAAAAAGGCTAACACAGGTCTGTAAGTACTGAAATGAACAGATAGTCAAGTTGTGTGAAGCTTAAAAAGAGTGATTTGTGGGATGCTGTGTTGTACAATGTGCAAAATGAGTTATAGAGGGAAGTATCCTAGAATGGAGTTAAAAAGGATACACAAGAAACCACTATTGGTTATCACCACAGAGAGGAGTGGGGGAGGGAAATTTCCATTCACCATTTATCCTTTCATACCTTTAAACTTTTATAATATGTATCTGGGTTACTTAGTCAAAAAATAAATTTTAAAAAGCAGCTGGGAAGTTATCACATATTTGTTTGTAGATTACTTCAGACAAAAAGCAAGGGAGGGCAAATCATTGTTGGTCTCTCTCCCCAGGTCACCCCCTCCAAGTCCCACCACCCAAAGGAGGCCGACACTGAGCGCTCCTCTCCCTCGGCCTACATCTGGCCGCGGGCCTGCTCCAGCCATCCCCTCTCCCGGCCCCCACTCAGGGGCTCCCCCAGTTCCTTTCCGGCCTGGCCCATTACCCCCTTTTCCCAACAGCAGCGACTCCTTTGGAGCCCCTCCACAAGTTCCCTCTCGGCCCACAAGGGCCCCACCCAGTGTCCCGAGGTAAGTGTGCCCTATGTGCTTGAAATTGTGTGGGGGATGCTCTTTGGTTCTCTTCTCATAGCAAGGCAGACAAAATTTGCTGGGGGGAAAAATGGCAAAGGTAGGATCCTACATGTTTGCAGTTTTACCTGGAAGAGGATCACAGGAAAATTGCTGAGCCAATGACACCATTTAAAAATCAATATGTGGTCATAATAAACCTCTCCTTATAAACGAGCACAAACAAAATGGGATCAAAGAAAACTGGATCCAGATGAATGACAGGTTGGCAGCTGTTTGCAGAATTTGAGGGAGCTCTTTGAAACAAGAGAGCCATGGCTGGTTTGACATGAGCTGTGTGTTCACAGGTCACGACAGTATCACCAGCTAAGGCTCCACCTCCCCTGTCACCAAAGGAATTCTAGAAAACCACTTACTTCAAGGAGTCTTATCCATCCGCCCTCTCAGCTTTGACCCTTAAACCCAACATGACTTAACCTTAATGTAGGTTGAGTAAAAAATCCCGCTGATTAAACCAGCATATTTTAACACAGACCTGATTGCTGTGTAGAGTCACTCACCATATTTGAGATTTGAGTAATGCATTTTGGTATTTATAGGCAAGTTTCAGGCCTAGTTGAAACAAAATAACTAATAAATGGAACTTGAAACATATTTAGTTAGAGCAACAGTCTCACCCTCATACATTCACAGGTAAAATATCAAGAGGTAACATGTGTTTAATTAGAAATTTCAAAAATTATGTTTGTCCCTCAAAATCAGAAATTTAAAAAGAAAGATATTTAGCTCATTTACAGAAAGTTCATTTTTTTTAAACTTCCATTCAGAGGATTAAATATTTTTGCACTCCCTGAAAGAAAGCTTTACCTTCCCTGTATTGTAAAGAGAAGTGACCCCACAACCCAGGAAACTCCCAATCACCTCCCCCTCTGATGGCCGTGCTTACATTTATTTTGATCTTCAAGCTGTTGGGTGTAAAGATAAAGGGCCTCTAAAACTAGTAAACAAAGGGTGGTATGGCAGGAACAGCAGGGGATGTGGAATCAGAAGACCTAGTTTGCCACAGACCGCAAGCACTTAACTAACTAGTAGCCCTACCTCCTCGTGAAACAGACAAATTCAACAAAGTTGCTGCCCAATTCATGTGCGATGAGGTAATTGAAAGGGTTTGATCGACTAAAATGACTTTGGTTGTTACTGTAATCATATTGGTCCTTATCAAACAGGAGATATGTTCTCTCAAACCTATATACCTTTCCCTCTAAACTCAGGAGGTTTGGCTTATAATTAACTTGAAACTGAGCTAAATTTCTAGTCATAATAGCAAAAACAATAGCTAACATTTATTGTGCTCTCAATATAGGCTCTGCACTATTCCATGAGTTTGGCAGGCATGTTTTTGGTTTAATGCTTACAGTCAGCCCAGGGAGAGAGGTTGTTATCCATTTTACAGATGAAGCACAGAAGTTAAGTTGCCCAAGGCTACTAAACCAGGCCCCAGTGCAGCAGGGCCTTTTAGTCTCAAGGAGTCTGACTCGAGACAGAGACCAGTCTCCCATTCATTACACCAGGGTTTCTCAACCCTGGTTTCACTACCATTGATATTTAGGAGGGGAGGGTGGAGGGGGCTGTCCTGTGCATTTTAGGATGTTTAGCAGCATCCTGGTCCCTGCTCACTGGATGTCAATTTCACTCTTCCGGTTGTGACCACTAAAAATCTCTTAGACACTGTCAAAGGGAGACGACGACGAGGTATAAGTCCCTCCTTCCCTTAGAACCACTGTGCCGTAGTATTCAAAAGATTTTCCCTGTTAAAAAAAAAAAAAAAAGAAAGAAAGAAAGAAAAAGAAAACACACAACATGAATGTCAGCATTGAGCCTCACTTAAAGCAAGATTAAATTATTGTCCTGGAAACCTCAAATTGACTAGGAAAGTATCCGCCATTGTGCCAGGGAGGTATGGAGACACTGGGAAGGATGTTGATGGTGGGAAGGTGGGAGTCCCATGCAGGGGTGTGGCAGCCCACTCTTTTGTCTGTTTAGCTGTAAGAAGGAACCAGAGCAACCTGGTGTGCCTGTCCTGGGGAATGAACACGCATGTCTCGTCTGCTCGCTTGGCTGCTTTACCTTAGTTTCAGATAAGCTGGCTTGCCAATACCCTTGGAGAAATCAAATGTTGAATGTTAAACTGATTTGTTAAGCGGGGTGGAGTCGCCCTTGGTATTTCCGAGCTCACACACAGAAGGTAGCCCGGCAGAAATCGGTAGCCTTAAGCTGGAGTCACTGGATTTAACCTTGCCTGCACTGGGGAATTTATAGGACAACAGTTGTGTTATTCAGAATTTCTAGAATATTCTTAAGTTAGAGCCAGACTTAACTTGATCTGGCCTCGCAAGGAGTCTCAAATGTAAAACAGAAATGAGTTCAGAGTAAAAGAGGAAAGTTGGTTGTTTTGTGCTGAGCCTTCAAGTTTCAGGGCCAGTTCAGCGTCTTGGGAGGGAAATCCCTGGGGGGGCGGCGGGGGGGGGGCAGGGGTGTCACCTGAGAGAAAGCAAGAAAGACTCTGTCAGGATCCTTATGCTTATTAAAGTTTAGCTTTAGATGGAGAATTCTGACCACATAAAGTCTGTTTTTAATAAAAGCCAGAGCAGGAATCTTACCAAATGCAAGCCAGAAATGGGGTTTAAGATTTCAAAAAAAGAAAGAAAAAGAAAGAGACAAAGATAGAAAGACAGAAAAAAAAAGTTAAGGGGAACTCTTGTTGAAACTTCACCTTGTTCTATTTATTTATATATCCTCTTTTCCCTCCGTGACTTGCCTCTATTTTCTCTATTAAAAACTTTTTTAAAAGTTGAAATGCCATTATCCATCATCTCCAGGAAAACAACCCTTAGCTTTCCGAGAAGGAAGTTTGATTTTTTTCAAGTTCTTTGCTTTCTTAAGAGCCCTTTCTCCTCTTTTATCTGAAACCAGAAACTCATAACGTGACAAGACAGCACAAGCCTTGTCCCGCTGGTTCCCTGTGGGCTTTAATATTACAAAGGCAGTAACTGAACTTTCAGAGGTAAAAGATTCTGCCGTTCAGCGTGTGCCTGTACATAGTTTCCTCCTGGATAATTTGTGCCTTCATTAGCAAATTAGGATCGTGACTTTTAAAGAGCACCTTTACTTTTTAGTTTAACCCTAATCAGAGGTAATGACAACACTTGCAATACTACAGTAAGCAAGAGCATTCTTTAAAAAAAAAAGATGTTATTATCACATCTTGCCCTCCTAGTGTAAAGGAAGAGAAAGGAGAGGGGCTGGTAGAGTGAGTTTTGGCCAGGTTTTTCTCAGCAGCTCAAGAAATGTTCTGGTTTGTGTGCATGGAGCCTTTCGGTGAGGGAGCTAGAAATATTGCAAACTCTGTGCCTGTTTTAATTAATTCCACCTGAACTAGGAGAGCATCTCTATCCCAAAGAGACTCACCAGAATGGATGCTTCTGTCATGAGTAAGTTGAGCGGACACAAATCTGTGATTTGTGGAACATTTTCTATTGCCAGAATATTTGGATTACCCCATCCCCTCTCACCCCCACTCAACTTCTCTGAAGGGGCTAAAACTCTGTCTGAAAAACCCAGTCAGTTGTGTTCTTGTTTAGCCAGATGATCTTAAACAGACCTCCTTAGGGGCCCTATTCTCTTACTTGAAGATTCTAATCTTCATCAAACACTAACTTTAGGACTGATGTAGCTATTTTCAGTTACAGCTTCTTAAAATTAGTTAGTTGGGAATCACAGCCTTTGACATTAACAGAACAAATTAACTGAATCAGAGTGTGTTTTTCCTGGCAACAGCCGACTCTGGCATTATTTCACTCATTTTTCTTCTCTCCTTTCCTTGGACTAAGCTATTTTGCAACGGTCAAAAGGGGATAAGGGTGGGAGGAAGGGTCTCTTTCCAAGGAAAAGCAAGCTCATTTACCTCATCACCCAACTCTATGAAAAAAATGTTGAATACTAGAAGGACTTTCTTTTAACTACCCTTGTCACCAAGTCTGATGCTGTCTTTTAAAAATGGCAAAACGGTATCATGGGATAGGATTTGCCCTTTGCACTGGCTCATCCACATGACAGAAACTCAATATGGAAACCAAGAAATTTTCCAATGAATGAGTCTCTGGTGAGCCCCATGATGGAGCTGACGCCCCTCACTGCAGGGACCATCCAGGATAGCCTCAAGATTAACCCAGGGTTTCCCACTTAGGCTCGGGCCCTGACTCATGTGGTTCAACTTTCCATGGCACACTTTGAAAGTCTCATCACAGCCCCACATTCTCAGTAATTCATTATTAATCCAAACATAGCAAAATATACATAAACCCATCTATATAAAGAGTCCATCCATGCTCTCATATTTTCTTCTTTAAAGAGGTGCAAGTCATTGGTTTTCTTTATAATTTACTTTCCTCTTGTTTTAAATGTTTGATCTTGATTTCCTGTTGTGCTTATGTATTTTATATATTTTACATGTCGATTTAATTCACAGTTAACCCAGAAGCTCTTTCACTTAGGTATAAGGGCTCCTTCTTTGGTTTGAACTTTTAGCCAGTCCCCCAAATTTTAAGTGAAGATAAGCCCACAATGTTTATAAGTATGTCTTTGCATCCCTAACATCAAGGTTTGGTGCCATGAAGGATGAAGCTGCTGAGCCTTGAAGTCGTGGGCTCAGGGTACAAGGACAATTAAGCAACTTGTGTGACTAGCCTGTGTCTGATTCCCCTGAAACCAAGTACTGGAAACCTCCTGACTTACTCTGTCCTCAACAGTCCTCTGAGAGTATGACTTCTTTTAGCAGCTGAGTATCATTTGGACAAATGATGCATTCCTCCTGTGATTTCTGATTCTGGCCATGAAGCTTTCTGTTTTCTTCACTATCCCTCTCCTTTAAAGAACAAATAAATTCTCCATCAGATTTTTATTTTTTTTTTAGGGAATAGTTTTTATATTTAGCATTGGGA